AATGCGTATGTAAAAACAAGATGTACAACATTCATTTAAACTTTGTCGGCTAATTTTGACGTTATTTTTAATATCTTATAAATATATTACTTGTATATTATTTTTAGTAGGCCGGGACATGAAAACTCCATTAGAAATTCATAACTTCTTCATCCGACATCTGTTTTCGTCTGTCTTTCTTCCGTTGGACTACTATCGACGAGATCTTCAATTCTTGTTTAGATTGTTTCGGCTAAATATCGTTCGATCTCATATTCGAACTTCGGATTATACACTGCTAAGCCGAAACTTCAAAAAATCATAACTTCCTCATACGAAGTCAGATTTGGGCATTCTTTTTATGCACGTTCTCGGTTTAATGAACTCTACAACATTTTTTTAGATCACTAAGGATAAATATCGCTTTATTATAAGCGATATATATATATATATATATATATATATATATATATATATATATATATATATATATATATATATATATATATATATATATATATATATATAGTGTTTATGGAAAATTGATTGTGTGAATCACAGTATCAAGACGACGCTTCGGAATTGGCTCCTCGTTTCTTCAAGCCATTAACTGATCTCACTCACTCTCTCTCTCTCTCTCTCTCTCTCTCTCTCTCTCTCTCATCTCTTTTCCTAGAATCAATAATTCAAGATTTCATTATAAAAGATGCAGCCACCCTTCGTCTTTGATTATCGGTTCTTCACAAAAATCACAACATCAATCTTTCACCTTTAACCTACCCTACTCTCATCACTGATTCAGCGCTCATGGAATTAGAGAAGAACAACCTACAAGAAGTTCCAGCTTCATCCCAAAATCCTAATCCCAGGTAAGTTTTCGATTTTATTTTCTTACACTTGATTTTGGTTGTAACCGATTAAACTGATGGATTGATATAATCGATTAAACCGATGAATTTGTATAATCGATTCTGGTATAATCAATTTCTTGATTGAATGATTTTTTGTTGTATCTGTTTTGAGTGATGTTGGTTATAATCGATTTCTTAATCAATAGATTTCTTACACTTGATTTTGATATAATCGATTCCATGCCTTGAACTTGATTACAACCATTGAATCTTTTCTCATGTAACTTATTTGTTAAATGCTTTTGATTTTATTTTATTACACTCGATTTTGGTTGTAATGGATTTGTATCTGTTTTGAGTGATGTTGGTTATAATTGATAACTTAGTCACTCAATTTGTTACACTTGATTTTGTTAAAATTAATATCATGCCTTGAACCTGATTGCAGCCATTGAATCTTTTTTCCTGTAACTTATTTGTTAAATGTTTGTCTGGAAAGTAGAAAGTAGAAACTTAATATGATTTCTAGCAAAACAGAAATCTGATTTAATATTTGTTTGGATATGGCACTACCACGTTTTTTTGTAGCTTTAGGAATCTTGCTTTCTTATAACTATAATATGATTTCTAGCAAAATAGAAATATGATTGCTGCAATTTAACTGCATAAAGTGGAACTGATTTCTAGCAAAGTTCATTGTTTTTGCAGCATCTTTTTTACTGCATATGTGTAAAGTTTTTTTGTATTATCAGTAAATCTAATTTCTAGCAAATTGCATCTTTTTTTGCAGCATTTATGTTCTATCAATCTGATTTCAACCATATTTTTTGCTTTTTTTTTGCAGTGACACTCAAGATAGATAGCCCCCGCAACCAAGTGTTGATGTTGCTGGAACAACAGATGGGCAGTTTGTTGGAGCAACAATGGACAGGTTGATGTAGCAATAGATGAGCAGGCTCTTGAAGCAACAGATGCTGAAAATATAAACAGAAGATTGACTTCTGAAGTTTAGTTCATGAAAAATTGTTCTTTTTATTTTAGTTATTTAACAAACATGAGGATGTCGTACTTATCTTTTTTTTTTTTTTATTACTATTTTGTGTATGAAAATGAAGTATTAATTGTTGAATGTTTAGTTATCATGATTATTACTATGTCTTTTATATATATATATATATATATATATATATATATATATATATATATATATATATATATATATATATATCAGATTTATTAAAACAATTATTGAATCTTTTTTACTTAACGGATATCCATCGTGTTCTCCATATCCGATGATTTTTTTTACCTGAATCCGTTGGGGTTTTGGCGGGTCGGGGCGGGGGCGGGTGTTGGGGTCAGAGTTCGGGTGCGGGGATGGGTATTGTAGTATCCGACAATATCCGCCCCCGTTTGCATCTCTAGTATTTCTAGAGGTTGTAAGTTCAAATCTTCTTTCAAACATTTATTTTCTTTTATTTTTGCAGTTCCTTTTATATAACTTTATACGGGTTATACATTTTATATCATGATGTGAAAATTAAACACAAGTACTGAGTTGTCCAAGTGGTAAAGTATTGAACTTTTAACTTTATAGTCCCTATTTTGAATCTTGGCACCTAAACAGGTGTGTTTTATTTTTTTTATCAGTTTTTCAACTTGTTTTTTAAAATCTTAAAATTGTCTCATGTCGGCCATAATATGAAACATAGCTCTTATACATTTGTTATATAAGCGACACAAGCTTCTCAATTTTCAACAAGTTAAACTTTCGAATGGGTTTGGGTTTATACCGGAATCCGAGTTTGAAAAAACGAGAAACTAAACCAATCGGTTTGGGATACCTTTTTACTGCGACCTTGGCTCCGCCACTGCCTTCAAACTCATTTGTTACTTCACTGTCACATCAACTTTTCTCTCTCTACTCAATTTCACATATCCTATCCCATAACACATTAAAACCAATATCTCTCATGCCTCCATCATATTCATTTTTTTAAAACTAATCATTTATTAATTAAAACTAAAGAAATCAAAAATATAATTAAACATAACGTTTTATTAAATAAAAACATTAAACACAACAAAAGGTATATAAAAAGACCAACGACAATGAAAACTCAAAGATAGTAAGTAAATTCTTTAAAAAAAAATAGGGTGAATTTTCAAAATCTTCAATACCGCCTCTTATTGAAAATCTTGTTTTATAGTGTTTACCATGATCAATTTTTGTTTTAAAATACCAAAGTCGGAGATTTCGGGCGCACGAATATTCATCTTTTGGGTGAAAGTGGAATTGAACTCAACAATTTTCACCTGTATATCCTTCAATTTGGAGGTAATTTGATGCGTTGTACGATCCAAACCCCTAAGTTGTTGTTTAAAGTGATAAAGATCCATTCCCGAAAAATCGAATGATCTTTGTAAATTTCCCCAATCATTATCTTCTAAAGTGTCAATTGTAAGCTTTCGCTAACGCCGCTTCTTAATGTTCGGACCATTGTTTGCACGTTTGGGATTGGGCAGGTGTTGAATCCATTTGAAATGAAATTGAATTGTAATTTGAGGAAATGATTGGAATTTGAAAAAATTAGAATGGAATGGAAAAAATACATGGTTTTTGAAATAGTAAAAAGCTTTATTTATAGTGTGTAAAGTGGATTTAAAAAATATAATATATTAATAAATTGAAATTTTGATGTTGGTCAGAAGTTAACAAGAATGAATGTACACATATAATAGGTAACAATGTGTTACATAGCCCATTTGTTATTTCAATTGGCATAACCACGGTTGGAGGGTTGATGGTTCCGCCACCTAGGCCTCGCTAATGGATTGGTTTCAAGTTGGCAGGTCATAATATATTGATCAAACTCAACCCATATACTATATGGGTTGACGGGTTGGAAACATCAATCCAACCTAATTCACATAGCTCGTTTAAGTATATAGGTTTGTGGGTTAGTGGAAGATTTCAGATCAAGGAGTCGATGGGTCATTTTTTCATAACTTTTCACATATTAAATTTATACGAATTATACACATTTATAAATTACTTAATAATTAACATTTTACATCGACTATAATAAAAGAACAATCAAATTAAAATCTAACATAATAAGTTAATAAGCAACATATTTAAAAAAAAAAAAAAAAGGTTTCCATATATTCTATTAATTCATAAATAAAATTTAAATTTTTTTATAAATATAATATATATACTTAGGTCGGTGGGTTGATGGATCAGAAATCTCAACCCAACACATTTATTTTTATGTCGGGTTTGTGTTCCGAGTTGGATCGAGACTTGAATCTACACCATCAACCCGCACTATATTAATGTGGGACTCATCCACCCTAATTATTAAAAAATAAAAAATAAATGAATAAAATAATAGGATAAACTTTCATTTTTGCAGTGGAGGTATCAAGGAACAGTTGAAAGTTGAAAATATAATAAAGTTGTTTTAAAAAAAAAAGAAAAAGAAAAAGATTTAGATAAAGTCAAAGTGAGTTGTAATATGGGTCAGCACCCAATCATTCGCTTCGTCCCAAATTTTGTCAACAAAAGGTGAGGCCACTTTCCATATCCAAAATCACATCAACAACAAACAAACAAACAACAAGCCCTTTGAATATTCGTCGACGTACCGATTCAATCATCATCGTCTTCATAATTTAATTTAATTCATCATCATCTGCAACGTGATCGCCTTCATCGTCTTTACGAGATCCACAAATCTTTCCCCCTCTTCGTGCATACATGTACATACATTTCTTCATATCGCTTCAACTAATTATAATAATTTCAACTTCTTTTCTTCTTTCGAAAGATTTTCCATGTGGGGTTTGTCCCAAATCACACCAGATTTCAAGTCTATTTTGTCTTTTTCAATAATCGTTCATATGCGCGTTTTTTGTCTCGATTAGGATACCATGTAATATGTTTAATGAATTAATTAATTAATGATGAATTCAAGGCTATTGGCCACCCGATCTGCATAACACGTTTCTCTCAATTTCTTTTTTGTGATTAAATTTGTCTTCCTTCTTCAATATCTTTGATTCTTATGATATTATTATACATTTGTTTGCAGTGAATTTGAATTTGATGAATGACGAAGAAGATGGCGTCAGTTTAATTGTTCCGAAGGAATTTTGATTGTTTTTATGGGCAATACATGCCGTGGATCATTCGGAGGAAAAGGCGCTAAAAGCTTCAATCAACCTGAACATCGTTCCAGTATCAAACACGAATCTTCTTCCACCCAAGTTAACAAAAACTCAACAACGAAATCGAACCCACAACAACACACAACCCAAAACACAGCTTCAAAGGATTCAACTCCGAAACCCCAAATTGACGACGACGACGACACCATGAATCGCACTAGTCAACCATTCTATGTCATCGGACATAAAACCGCAAACATCCGTGATCTTTACACTTTAGGTCAAAAACTAGGCCAAGGCCAATTTGGTACAACCTATTTATGCACCGAGCATTCCACCGGTAATAATTACGCCTGTAAATCCATTTCAAAGCGGAAATTGATTTCAAAAGAGGATGTGGAAGACGTAAGGAGGGAAATCCAAATCATGCATCATTTAGCAGGCCACAAAAACATCGTCACCATTAAAGGCGCATATGAAGATCCTTTATATGTTCATATTGTCATGGAGCTCTGTGGTGGTGGAGAACTTTTCGACAGAATCATTCAAAGGGGACATTACAGTGAACGAAAGGCAGCCGAATTGATCAGAATCATCGTTGGCGTCGTCCAGGCTTGCCATTCCCTCGGTGTTATGCATCGCGATTTAAAACCTGAAAATTTCTTGTTGGTTAACAAAGACGATGATTTCTCACTCAAAGCGATTGATTTTGGACTCTCCATTTTCTTCAAACCAGGTTAATTTTCATAAAGTTTTCATCTTTTTTCCTTTTCTCAAAATTTCTTCTACTAATTTGGATTCGTTTGTAGGTCAAATCTTCACAGATGTAGTTGGGAGTCCATATTATGTTGCTCCTGAGGTGTTATTGAAGCATTATGGTCCAGAAGCAGATGTATGGACAGCTGGCGTCATTCTTTACATTCTTTTAAGCGGTGTACCTCCATTTTGGGCTGGTATGTTTTATAATAATTTATAAACTAACATTTTTTTTTTTTATTATGGATTGGGAAAATTACAAAAAATAGCAAAATTTACTTTATTCTCTCTACCAATATATGAAATGTACTTGGTGTTTTTTATTTATAATAGCAATGTAAGTAAGCTGCTATTAGATGTAAATAATTAACAAGATTTAATTATTTATGTAGAAACACAACAGGGGATATTTGATGCGGTTTTGAAGGGTAATATAGACTTTGATTCAGACCCATGGCCACTTATATCTGAAAGTGCAAAAGATCTTATTAGAAAGATGTTATGTTCGCGCCCTTCAAATCGATTAACAGCTCATAAAGTTCTCTGTATGTCCTTTTTTAGCCTTTATGAATCATCTTTTTAGCTTTTTTTTTTTTTTTTTTTTTTTTGTTGTATCTATTACTTGTTTTTTTATAAACAATTTACAGGTCATCCATGGATATGTGAAAATGGTGTTGCACCTGATAGAGAACTGGATCCAGCAGTTCTTAGTCGTTTGAAGCAGTTTTCAGCCATGAATAAGTTAAAGAAGATGGCTTTAAGGGTATAGATAATGTTGTTTTAGGATTTTTTTTTTTTTTTTTTATATATATATATTATGTGGGAAAGAAGATATTTGAGATTTTGTTGATTTGATTGTTGCAGGTTATAGCTGAGAGCTTGTCGGAAGAGGAGATTGCTGGTTTGAGGGAAATGTTTAAGGCAATGGATACTGATAATAGTGGTGCAATTACATTTGATGAATTAAAAGCGGGTTTAAAAAAGTTTGGTTCTACATTAAAGGATACAGAAATTCGAGACCTTATGGATGCGGTAAGACTATTATTCAATTTGGAGTAAATTATATTTTTGGTCCTTGAGTATAATTTGGTCCCAAAAGTGTTTTTATTTTATAATTTGGTCTTTCTTGTAACTTTTTTTTATGATTATATTAATGGAACCAACATTGCAAGAATAGCTATAATCAGGGAACAAAAAAAGTCATTTTAGTTGGTCAATGGCGAAAAACTTTACAAGAACCTCAAATGAGGAACAAATTTGCAAGATAAAACTGCAAAACGACTATACTCAGGGACCAAAATGTAAATTTTCATAAATTTGTGTGAAGTTGTTTTTTTCCCATTAAATGTTGTCTAGATACATGGTGAATGATGTTGAAAAGGTAACGGCACAACAAATGAGGTCAAATTTGTAAAAAGTCAAAGATTTAATAAAAGCCTTAAGTAGAAAAATCACTTCATATAAATTAAAAGTAAAATGGTGATTTAGAGTGCGTTTGATTCTAGAATATTTTCCATTTTTCCATGGAAATTTTCAGCTGAAGATAGAAAATTTTGAAAATGCATGTAGTTGATTTAATTTAAAAAAAAATCCAAGAAAATGAAAATTTTCTGTTTTCCAAATTAATTGCATGTACATTAGAAAAGTGATTTTTACAGTTTTCAAAAGTTTTCTAAAATTTTCATTAAAAGTTAAAAATGAAAACTCAACTCTATTTTCTAAAAACGTTTTCTAGAAAAATGAAAACAATTTTTCACAACCAAACGCGCTCTTAGTATCTCGGATTATTGATTTCAAAAAGTAAAGACTTTGCGTGCAACATTTTATCTATGCAAACATCATTAAACAATCGTTTAGTCCTTTCAAAATTAAGTCTATTAAATAAAAAGAAACAGAAACAAACAGTATCTAAACCGCGTTAGTTTCCAGGCTGATGTGGACAACAGTGGGACAATCGACTATGGAGAATTTGTAGCAGCTACAATTCATTTGAACAAATTGGAACGCGAAGAACATCTTGTGGCTGCATTTCGGTATTTTGACAAAGATGAAAGTGGTTATATTACGTTTGATGAGCTTCAACAGGCTTGTATAGATCATAACATGACTGATATTCTTGTGGAAGATATTATTAAAGAAGTTGATCAAGATAACGTGAGTTCAAATATTTTCAATGTGTTTTTGTAATTAAATGGTATATATTTATGTGTATTTATGTGGGTTTGTTTTTTTGTTTTCAGGATGGGAGGATTGATTATGGGGAATTTGTAGCGATGATGACAAAAGGAAATGGAGGAATTGGAAGAAGAACGATGAGGAATAGTGTAAACATTAGCATGAGAGATTCGCCAAGAGCTGCCCGAGATTCGCCAAGAGCTGCCCGGGATTCCCCAAGGGCTGTATGGGATTCACCAAGGGCTGCCCGGGATTCACCCCGAGCTGCCCGTGAATCACCCAGGGCTGCCCGCGATTCACCAAGGGCTTACCTCCAGTAATCGTTTCTTGTTGTTGAATTGAATGTATCTTGTCTGTTTTTTGGTTTTTTTTTATGGTTCAAGTAGAAAAAATGATTTTATGAACAATGAAATGTTAACTGGCCAATAAGAAAGTGTTAGCTAGTATTTGGTATGTAATAATCACGTTTGAAATTGAATGGAACAAATATATATTTATAATTATATTACTCCAAAGGAATATGAAATATGAAATATGTTTTATGTAATGTATTTAGAAACATACCATAGTTTCACTAAAATTTAATGTTATAGAATAGTATTTTTGTTTGTATTAATAAAAATTTGCTTTAATTAAGATTTTAATAAGGTATAACATATAGTAGTTTTAAATAATCTATTTCATTAACTTTGTGTGTAGTTGGTTCTTCATGGAAGAAAGACGGTGGTGGTAAGTTGTAGATAATGGTAAGGGTGTGTTCGGTTCTGAAATCGGAATAACCGAAACCGGAAATGAGACATAAAAAGCAATATGATTTATCAAATATACAAGAATAAAAAGCAACTAAATCTGTAGGATACCAAAAATTGATTACCTCCCCACGTCATAAAAGGCCTTAATTTTGATTAGATATCATATCTTAAAACCCATGATTAATGATTACGACAACTTTTCGACCTTAATTTTGAATTTTAAAGGGTGACAACGAAGTATGTTATGTCGTCCCACATGTATTGGAATTATTTTCGTTCGACGTATATGCCTCAGTTTTATACATTTATATAGTCTCTGGAAAGATAATAATAATAATAACAATAATAATAATAATAATAATAATAATAAGAATTTAATGATTTGGCAATTGGCATTTGCATCGTCCACCGACACCTCCAAAAATTCGGAGGAATTATACTCTTATAAAAAAAAATATTAATATGATTAAATCGTTTTAAATCTGATCATATATAAATAGAAAGTAACATGGGTTTGCTTCTATTTGGTCAAAAGGGCTTCTTTTCATCCCTTCCAATAGATTCTTCCCTGCTCTCTCTGTAAATTCCTTCTGTAGCAGATATTTTATATATTTAATCATGATAAAAAAAGAGATTCCAAAGACAACAGACAAGTATTGTTCAATCAAATATCTCTAGCAATTTAATGGATGGAAGTAAGCTGATTTTACAACACATTTCTATAGATTGTAATGGATGCCTGCTTCTTACATGTAATGATTGTAATGGAATAAAAAAGAACAAAAAATTACAGAAACATAACAAAGCTGAGAAACCCATATCCAGGAATCAAAACTCAAAAGTATTACAAATATTATGAATGTTCATAAGAAATCATTAGGCAAAAATGAAAAATCATCCGCCGACATCGGTTTTTTGCTGCCGAACGGACGGTGGTCACCGGCGAAATGGTGTATTACTTGTCTTATGTTTATAATCACTCTCTAATTTACAGCAAAGTATAGGAATAATCGATACATCAAGTGAATATGTAGCTGGAAAATGGATTCTGATTTTCAACTAACCTTTGGTGCTATGCTCAAATGGCGGAACTGTAGGAATTTGAACGGATGGTCTGAGGAAGTCCGGCTTGATCAGATCCGACGAGCTTTCGGATCTCGGATCTGAATTTGTAGAGGATGTGTCTCAAGCTACCTTTGTTATGACAACCGAGAACGGAGGTTTCTTCTTGATTCATCTCCAGATCCTGTGCGAATACTGGTTTTCTGGAAAGGATCCATCCCCAGCCACGAGCCCACCAGGTCTTGATGGAGGTAGACGCCGATTCCCCCATTGAAGACACCGATTTGGAGCTGCGCAACGCCCACGCGGTGGTGTCTGACATCGTCGGCGGTTGGATCTGGAATGTCATAGAGGAGATCCTTCGGCGCATTCCGGCTCCGGCTGTTGGTGGTGGTGGGTCCTGTGTGGTGTTATGAGAAACTGGGAGAGATTTCTCCTTGTGGAAGCTCTGCAACATAGAGGTCATGGTGTTGATGAATGGGAACGAATCAGAGGGAGATGGGAGTTTGAAGCAGAGATGCACCAGGTCCAGGTGAATGTGAATGTGAAGGTGAATTGAAGTAGAGAAAGGTTGTGGGATCCATCCATCACATTCTCATACCAAACATAATACATACATATATGCAAGTCTGTATTTGCATGTGATAGGTGGAATATAAAAAACTTCATCCAACATTTAAAAATAGTTAGCGCATATGTATATAGAATAAATATGAACTACTATATGTTAGATGTTTAATTATCACTTATGTATCATTTGATATGACTTGTTTATAGGACGAAACATCAACTAAACTTGGTTTAATCATTTAAAAATGCAGAACCAAATGAAACCGATCATAAAACAAAGTTTGACAATTTAGATCTATAATGGATGTGAACTTTTTATACGACTCTCATATGTTTTTTACTTAGTTCAGTAAGATGTTGAGGTTCACTCGATTAGATTCTGACTGTTTAATAACACAGTTAAAATTTAGAAACATATGACTGAGTCCTAGCTCGTCTCCTGTCTCTTATTCGATCATATTTATGGTTATGTGTGTTATTAATTTAATAAATTAAGACATAATTAATAACTATCAACCAATCCTTAGTTATTGTTTGAGATTTCTAGCATGTGTTTAAGGGTATATATGAAAAAACATTAATTAAATGTCAAAACATATTGACTAATATGTAAATACTTTTCATAATTAATATTGTTCATATTTTTCAATAAAAAATATTTTTTATATTTAATTATGATACTATTTTTATAATTAATATTTTTTATATACATCACACATGGTAAAAAATTCTTTAAAAAATCTTGTGTTTTAATAAAGTTTAATAAAAGACCAATGGGAAATAGCCTAACAAAACGACTTGATTCCAGAATTTTCAAACCAAATGATAAAATTGAAACTCTTTGGAGAAATTAGCCGAACTACTTTGACTCAGTTGAGCCCACTTACTCGGTTTGGGCTTATCAAAAGGATCTCCACTTAAACCTAACCGTGGTTTCCTTTAACCCGAGACGAAGGTCGTCTAGTCAATTGTCATGCATGCTCTCTCATTAAGCAAAACAGCAAACCATCGAGAAACAAAGTTGACGCTCCGTCGCTCTCCGATACCAGAACCACCGCCAAAATCCTCCACAGACTGAATCCAATTGAGAGTAAGAAAACCGAGTGTCGATTTTATCGATGGAAGTTGAGTGTATGAGAGCTTGCATGAGAAAGCTCGCAATTTGGTACACCCCCAATTTCAAGCCTATCACTAATCACGATGAGCTTGATCGCATCATGTCTACCCTCGGTTTTCTCTCTCTACCACCAATTTCCACCACCACCGCCTCAACCTCCGCCTGGAAAGAGTACTCCTTTTCTGCCGCCGGAATTTTTCTTTCCAAATCCCCCTCTCCTCCGCGCCCTCGCCTTCCATATCCCAGAATTGACGGCTTACATGTCAACACCTACCACGCCTTTTTGGATTCCGTCAATTTTTACCTCCGTATGCACAACATATCTGATATTTTCCATATTCGGTACTTTTCTCTTTCCTTCAATTGTTTTTGATTTCCTAATTTCTTCCATTCATGTACAGTGTTCATTTACTACAGTTACTAATTATTGTTTGTGTTAAACTTTGACCCAAAAAAATCCATTACCAATTTACAATTTTTCCTTCAAAAGGTGCTAGCCTTGAACCAAAGCATAATCAATATGAATTAATCTGTCTTTGTTTCTTCTCTGATAATCAATTACAAAAGGAATCCATAAATCTATTGCATTTTCTCCTTTAGAGTAAATCTGCGTGACTCCATTGTTATATCAAGGAGATTTGGTCAAAATTGATTTGATTATGATTGTTTCTCAGGGGAATGCCATTGCACCATGTCCATGACAGAAACCAGAAATGGTCGAGAATGGTTGGAGATGATTTGGTTTATGTGTACAGAGAGGGAACCATGGAGTTGTCACCAACAAACAAAAATGTTGTCCAAAACAAGGATCAGAATCCAGTTTTGTGCATTGTTCCATGGACTAACATCAATGACAAGATGTTATAGCAGTAGAAAAGTAGATACTTCACCTTTGTTTAGATGAATATATGCACTAAAAAACAATCAAACTAGTTCTTTCTATGTTCTTGTTGATATGGAGTAGTAGTATTAGATCATGACTTATGAAAATAGGAGCTTTTGATGAATCAGTAGATATGCTTGCTTTTGATTTATGTTTGTTTTAAAAAAGCATGTGAACTAACATATTTGTTTAATTGCTAATGCAATTTTTTTCTTATATCCATTTTGTGTTCTATGGTTTATTTTAGTTCTTGCCACAATTATGTTCCATTATTCTGAGATGTTATATTTCACAGCTGTGAAAACAAGATCAAACCACATCAACTAATCTTAGGATTAACGTCATCCTTTTTCCATAGATCCTAAATCCTTATATATTATTACAATATTGTTAGGTTTTCAATTTTTCCTTATTAGATTTTGCAATTACCTCCGCATCACAACAATGTTTACTTTCTTTCGAAAATGGTCCCCAGTGTCACATCAACAACTATTTTATACTTTTTAATAATCTGAATTATTAGAATTAATAAAAATTAACATATATATATATATATATATATATATATATATATATATGGAAAATTGAATATACCCTTAAAGGTATATAAGCTTAGGTACCCAAACTCATCGTACTACGTGATTTTGTATCATATATATACATTGTAATTGTCTAATGTTCTTATAATTCAACTTCTAACTTGATTTATTTCTAAGATTTTTATAAATTTCACATTTATCTTCATCTTATATAATTTTCATATTCAATATAGTATATATATATATATATATATATATATATATATATATATATATATATATATATATAGCCTAGTAGGTGTTCGGCAAATATATATAATGTTAGAGGAAGATAATAGTGAAATTTCGAAAATATTAAAAGTAAATCAACTTATGGGTTGATGTTTAAGAACATTATAATGAATATATCAAATAAAACGACGTATTTTTGTTGGTTGGGTACCTAAGCTTATATACCTCAAGGGTATATTCACTTTTCCCATATATATATATATATATATATATATATATATATATATATATATATATATATATATATATATATATATATATATATATATATATATATATATATATATATATATATATATATATATAATAAAAAGTATAAAAAAATTATAATCTGGAATTAGTTTAATTATTATTAAATATTTTATTAATATATAAATATATTTATTTAAGATGATATTAATATAATAAAATTAATTAATTAATAAGAGAAGAATGTACACACTTGACAATTGGCTTTGGCATTGCAAACATTTTTTTGAAAGAATCCGGGATTTGCTTTGAAAGCCCAATGTTGATAGACTTTCTAACTTGTTAATTGGATCAATCAAGTTGACTCTTAGACATGTTACTATGTAATAATCTTATAAGAGCAGTGACAAAAAAATAGTATGATATTTAAAACAAAATTAGTAGTATATCATTGCCGTAAATGACATCTTATAGTCTCCTTCCTCCATCTAAATACCCAATCGAAGGCTCATTTCAAACGAAAGAATCCCCAAATTGGAGTAGTAAACTTTTATATCAGAATGAGAATCACTTCACTTGTACTAGTATATTAAATATAATACAAGTTTTTTTTTTATCAATCAAATTTGGTTTATGGAGATGTAATTGAATTTATAGTCGAGTAAGAGGTTACCATACTAATTGTGGTCTACAACTTTTGCGTTTGGTGACAAGACAAGAAGATAACCACCATCACTATCAATATCATCATTCGCCTCCACACTTTGATGCCTTTGCTTTTAACCAAATTAAATTATCCTCATTTAGCATTAGAAAAGCACCCATGAGCCATATGTAATATATTCTTTTAAATCCGCCTATCTTCATTTTGATAGGAATAGGATGCTACTCAAGATTAAACTTGCCATGAATTAAAATAATACACTATATCTTCAACTGATGATATAAGGTAAAACAAATTAATAATAAAACATATCTCAACTTTATATTTATCTTTAACTAACTAAAGTATTAAACAAAATATCAACATATGTTATTTGTATGACATTTGACTTGGCGAGCCATCTCTGCATACAACTTTTCCTTTTTCTTTTCATCTTCTTACCTTTTGTATTTGATTTTTTTTTATTTATTAATTATATTTTGTTTACATATTTGCAAACATAAAAAACAAAATACAAATAATGACAAATAACATCTTTTATAAAGCAACTAAGTTTTCCGAGCTTAACTCTAAAACATCAGTTTTTGTTGATTGTTGTATAAAAACGAGTCTAGATTAGAAGCAAGGAAGAAAAATAATATTTGCAAATTGTTGTATTTATGGTGTTAAGCAAGTGTTTGTTTTGTGGGTGTATGAGTATGAGTATGAACCAAGCCCACCAGAAGTGAAGTTTTGAATTAAACCTCTCTCACTAAAATACTAAATAGTAGTAAATACAGTACTCAGAACATGAACATGAACTGCACAAAAAGTAACATATCTTCTACCCACTAAAACCTTGTCAACAATTTATCTGCATTTGATTCTACACCTCTGACTGCTCAAATGGCACTCTCACAAACAACTGACCATGCAATGTCACAACAGCCGACGTTTGATGAGGATCAATCCTTGAAGGTAAACTCACAACCTACACCATCATATAAATCATTTACAATCATAACTCTAAATGTTAACTCTCTCTACATTTTCTAGCCAACATTTATATAGTTCGTCTGAGTGAGAATCAAATTCATCAGACGCCTGTCATTTATGTAGGGTAGGATGAATTTGATCCAAGGGTCGTGATGTAGTTTCTTGGTTCCCTCACATCACATTATAATATTATATTATAGAGGTGCTTAATAAACTTGTTACCTTTTTAAAAGGAGAA